GGTTTTCTTATGTCCTGCAACCTCTTCCCGCCCACTATCTCATCTGCAAGTTGACTCCTCACATCTTTTCTATCGCTTCCTGCAGTGTGTCTTACAGTAGTCCTTACCCTACACCTCTCTCACAGGCTCCAAATCTCACTGTCCAGTCCAAACTGCTCAGCGCTCACTCCTCCCATTCTCCCTGGACAGGCCCGCTGGCACCGGCCACCCCAGGCTGCTGGACACGGCTACGGCCGCTCTGCTTTCATTTTCAGCTTCCTGAAGTGCTCACCTTACCTGGGTCCCTGCCACTCTCCTCAGTGCATGCCACAGGCTCCCACACCTCAGGCTCCTTCCTCCCCCTCCTTGACGCCTCACATACCACTTGGGTTCCAACGTCCACATCCTGTGTTCACTCCGGCCTGTAATGTGGCTTGGTGCGCACTGCCTTTGAGAAGGAGTGTTCTCGGGCTACTTCTTTCACCCTGTTTTTCCATGAACACCCTTTAGGCCTATAACAAGTCAACAGATCTCCCACATGAAGTGTCTAGGGTACATTTCTATAACTTCTCCGTTCTCTAATTCTATACCCTTCTTTTTAGGCCAATAATAGCCAGATACTCCAATGCTGCATGGGAGAAGTGTTTCCTTCCCTGTTAAAGCAGTCCTTTCTGACTCGTTACAGAAATGCGTCACTACAACCCCCATAAAGAACACATACGTCAGACAGAGAATGAAATATTTTATTTTTTTTGTTTTTCTTCTGGTACCAGGAATCGAACTCACGACCTTGCGCTTGCCAGGCAGGCGCTGTGCCACTGAGCTAAATCCCCAGCCCCAAGAATGAAATATTTTAAAAAGACGAATAACCACTTGGTCCATTTCTCAATGGAGATTGAGAACAAAGGAAAAGAAAAGAGACAGGGAAAAAATACAATCAGAATTCAGCCTGAAACACATACGGAAATCTCTAGTTGTAATGTAAGGGAAAGATATTTAGGCCTAGGTCTCTCTTCTGGTGAAGCCAGAAGCCAGGATGTGCATACCTAAGCCATCCTTTCTAAACTTGAACATCAACTGTAGATCAAGGCCAAACCCTCCAGGGGGAAAGCAGCGCATATGAAGGCCCAGGCATGAGAAGAATGATGGCTAATGGATAGGAAGCGCTGGGACACAGATAATTCTTTAATACAGTGTGCTTCAAAAAAGCCAACAAACCACCACAACAAACAAACAGAAACAAAAAAAAGTGCACTTACCAATGTCGTGCTTCACTCGCCTGGACGTCACATGACCCAGTAACCTGTAGTGGCAGCTGTTCATTATTACTCAACAGCAGTACAGTTTGTTACCTGTCGTCCACTGCTGGGTGGCAGAAGGCACTGACCGTAGCCAGTCACCTCTCCAAAAGCTACACTGGCAAAAGCAGTCAGAGAGCAACAGCGCTGGGACCCAGTCTCTTCAGCCCAGGCTGCCCCCTGGGGAACTGTATGGCCCATGGAGTAAAAATGAGAGGCATCCAGAGGAGAATGCTGTCTGACCTCGGCTGCCTGCCTTCAAGGATCAAATAAAAGTATTTGTTCAGAGAAGCAAAGCAGCTGGGCGTGGTGTACACGCCTGTAATCCCAGCACTTGGGAGGCTGAGGCAGGAGGATTGTTGGGAGTTTGGGACCAGTCTGGGCTACAAAGTGAGCTCAAGCCCAGCCTGAACTGCATAGC